TCTATATTAAGTAGACTCCGCAACAATCAATTCAATCCGGTCACTCTCCTAGACCCACTTACCTATCTAGGTAGGGCTTAAACTCCTATAGGTAACTACTAGGCTTAAAGCGGTAATCAATCAATCCAATCTGAACCTTCTAGGACCCACTTAATTGATTGTTGCGGACTGTGATATTAAGGTTCTCTCCCAGGCTTGTTTCTTAAGCCTAGTCTCTTCATGCCTGTTAAGAGATCCCACTCTTCTTTCATAATAGGCTCCAGAATCTTATTCATCTCTTCAATCTTAAGAGCTGCTTCTTTCTTCTCCTTAGCAGTCTTAGGCCTCCAGACGTGCAAGGGGCCTTTATAGTTATATGAAAAGCAGCCCCAAAACATAAACTTTAAGTAGCCTTTCCATCTCTCTCGGATAACAGATTTAGTAAAGGCCTCATCTGTTTTCCTCCACACGCGATAGCTACCATGGCGGTGATTAAGAAGGACTGAGGTCTCATCTAACCAGATGACATCCTTCCAATTCTCAAGTATCCAGTCCTTATGAGCAAGACACTAGTTAAGTCTCTCCTGTCTCATCTTCTTCGTCAGCCCAGGCTTCCTCATTGGCTTGGTCTTGTTGTACCCTGCTGCTTTAAGGACTCTCCACACTGTTGTAGATGAAACGTTTTGACCGTGAAGACTAAGATTACCAGCTATATCAGCACAGCTCTTCTCTCTTCCATATCTATCACAGCGTACTCTCTCAATAGCAGCCTCTTGTATAGCCTCTTGCTTGCGTGGACGGCCTGTACGTAGAGCCTCTTCAAGGTACTTAAGGAGGAGTTTTATCGTTAGCGCATTTAGCTCAAAGCCTCGCTGGCAGGCTCTAGCATAGATAGCATTAATCGTACGTGGAGGAATGCCGGTGATATCGCTGATGTGACTCGTTGATTTGCCACTAAAGGGGGACTTTAAAGTGACAATCAAGGCGCGTGTAGAGAGATCTGTATTAGGAGCCATTGGTATAGAACTAAAACACCAAGAAAACGCGTATAGTTAGTAACTTAAGTGTAATAAGAAACCTACATAAGGCTAGAAGAAGTTTAGCAGAACCTACGGAGCCTGTTCTACGTTTTACAATAATTTAAGCTACACAGGCAATGGCAACTGTTCTATACGAGGGTGAATTTTTCAAACATGTTGTATCAGGTTTTGTTGCGGGCGCCGCCGGTATGAGTGTAGAGTACCCATTTGATACTGTTAAGGTGCGACTCCAAGCACAACCAGGCCATTTACCATTACGTTACTCTGGACCCCTTGACTGTTTCAAACAGTCGCTACGTCAAGAAGGGTTTTTAGCTCTTTACAGAGGGATAAGTGCACCTCTCTTTGGAGCAGCAATCGAAACAAGTAGTTTGTTTCTTAGCGTAGGTTACTAATATTAAGCTGAAGTTCTCTACTAATTTCCCTGAAGTTTAGGCTTGCCCAAAAAATCCTCGAAGCCGACACAGAGGGTGCTGTCTTTAAATCCGACTTCATAGTGCTACGTAATGTAGTTTTGTGCGGTGCAGCATCCGGCGCAATCACATCTTTCCTTCTAAATCCTATCGAGATGATTAAATGCAATATGCAAGTGCTCCCGGAGACCCAAGCAGGCATACAGTTGCAAAGGCGTGGGACAAGAACTACTATTGAGGAGATATACTGTCGCTACGGCATGTCCGGATTCTGGAGTGGACAGATCGCTATCATCATTCGGGAGGCTGGCGGGACCGCAGCTTGGTTCGGCAGTTACGAGGGTGTGAAGCGCTCCTTACAACGTATAACCCCTCAAACGATCGAGGGACAGTTGGAATCCTTGGCTGGGGCAAAGGCTGCTTGGCAACAAGT